GAGAGAGAGAGGAGAGAGAGAGAAGAGAGAGAGAGAGAAGAGAGAGAGAAGAGAGAGAAGAGAGAGAGAGAGAAGAGAGAGAGAGAGAGAGAGAGAGAGAGAGAGAGAGGAGAGAGAGAGAAGAGAGAGAGAGAGAGAGAGAGAGAGAGAGAGAAGAGAGAGAGAGGAGGAGAGAGAGAGAAGAGAGAGAGAGAGAAGAGAGAGAGAGGAGAGAGAGAGAAGAGAGAGAGAGAGAAGAGAGAGAGAAGAGAGGAGAAGAGAGAGAGAGAGAGAGAGAGAGAGAAGGATGAAAGGAACTGACGGTTCTGGGTTTGAACGGCGGCTGCATCTCCAGTCTCTCCAGTCGATCCCAGTCGATCCAGCGGAAGAACAGATGCTCCTTGATGTCCCTCTCCGCCTCCTCTCCTCCACCCAGACGCTTTCCTGGGTGTTTCGTCAGAAGCTGACGGAAACAAACAGAAAACTTCAGTAAAGTCAGTTTCATCTTCAGCTTTCTTAAACAAATTTAGTTCACAACAACTCACTTTTTAGATCACTGAAGCAAGACACTCCTGACTTTGGAGCTTGGAGGCAACTTTTGATCGTTGCAGTTGACATTTATCCTGAAGCTTTATACACTTTGTGTATTTTAACTTTATTTAACACTGAATTGCAACAAAATGCTGAGAGGAACGAGCAAAAATGCATCTTTGTAGCTAAAGAAAGGTTTTGTAGACCAGTTTGAGTGCAGTAGTGAATGTACACAACAGCGGTGTCCCTGCAGGCAGCTACCCTGCATGTTTTTGATGTTCCTCTGCTCCAGCACACCTGAATTAAACCTTCTGGTGATTAACTGGCATCTGTAGAACTCGAGGACACGATTAAAGGGTGATTCATCCGTTAAATGAGGTGTGGAACAACTGTTTAATCAATACATGTGCAGTGGTCTCTAGTAGGAATAAATGCCTTGTAAGTGAGTGTGTGTGTGTGTGTGTGTGTGTGTGGGTGGGTGGGGGTGGGGGGGGGGGGGGGGGGGGGGGGGTACTGGTGCACTATTTCCAGGAACTAGAAGTGAGCCAGGTTAGAGTGGAGCTTCAGATAACAGGATTCGGAGTCTTATTTCCAGAAGTTTTATCGCCACAAAAGACATAAGTCTGGAGGAGTTCTGCTGTGTGGTGGAGCTGCTAATGCTAATGTTTAGCTTCTACTAGCAAGACGTTCTCTGTTGTTTCCTGGATGCTAACAACAGCCTTCCCCGTCATGAGTCAAGATGGGCGAGTCCATGAATGTTAGTGACAGTGTGACCCTAACCCTTTTCTAAGGTGTAGGAGACTATTTTCATGTCCAGCCTCAGAGTGACCGACTATAATCAGAAATAATCATTAAAAACGGGTTTTCAGTGAATCACACCTTTAAATTGGGTGAAACCTCCAGAATAGGAAGGATGTTAGACCTCAAGGACAAAAAAAAAAAATCCTAAAAACAGTCTAAATTAGGGATGGGGAACCCGATCTTCGAGGGTCCGTATCCTGCATGTTTTAGTTGTTTCTCTGCTTCAACACTCCTAATTGAGTGGTTAAATCACCTGTTCAGCAGCTCGTCAAGCTCCGCTGAAGCCTGTTACTCACCTGCTGATTGAAATCAGGTGCGTTGAAGCAGGGAAACAACAAAAACATGCAGGACAGCAGCCCTCAGAGGACCAGGATTCCTCACTCCTGAACTAAATACACAAACATGAGGCAAAGAAGTGAAAACGTCTGAAATGATCAGGTTTGTATTCCGCAATTCTTTTGCACGTTTTAACAGTTTTTCTAAGCCTTTCGTTTCAATTCAGACGAGAAACCTCGGTTGAAAGTGACTGCTCAGATGGGAGTCTCGACTTTAGCAGCGGTGCGGCGTAACGGTTCGGTGATTCCTTCACTTTTTAATGTGACTTCAGGCAATTTTGTATAAGTGCAAAATCCAGCTTTCTAATGAGTAACATTTGTTGTAAAAGTCACCGCAGAGGTCATAAAATATATCACTGTAAACCCAAAAGTTCAAAATAATCAAATATATTGAGTAGATTAAACTCATAATAAAAATGTTTTACAACTCAAATGTGTTGAGCTTGTTCAACCTTTCCCTTGTTTTAAGTACACTGAACGCAAATGTTTTAATTAATCTGAACAATTTCTTTTTTTAAGTAAGCATAACTTAAATCAATCAATAAAAGACAACTTAACTTTAATGAGTAACATTAACAAAAAATGATTGACTTATTATTTTTTGTTTCTATGTTATTCCATTCATCTTTACGTCAACCCTAAAGTGTGTCTGATAAAAAGACTTAGGGCTGGGCGATCATATGATCGCACCTTGTGATCACGATCATTTTCAGTTCAATTACGGTGATCAGCTGGGAGTCTCGATCAGAAATAACAGATGTGGGCAGCCTCAATAGGGGGCGCTAACACTCCATGTGCGTTGGTTGCCCACCGCCATTTAACAAAAAGAAGAAGCATTTGCAATTGCACTTTTCCTGCTCCGCTACTTCCATGAAGAGGTTTAATAAGCAGAATGGCCAAACATGGAGCTGAAGACAGCGAAGTAGATCCCAGTCATGACTCGGAGTTGTCTTCTGGAGATGAAGACATTGTTCAGAAGAAAAGTTACTCAACGTCAGTAGTGTGTCGGTGGTTCGGGTATCTCAAATGTGACGTTGAGCAAATCAAGCCGACATGCAAGGTATGTCGGCGATTGGTGCCTTCAAAAACTGGCAACACTACGAATCTATTTAATCATCTAAAGAAATACCACCCAAGTGATTATACAGAGAGCGTGAAAATGCGAGCAGAGTCCGGACAACTTGTTAGCTTGTCTCAAAGTAGACTTAGCACTAGCGCGGCTGCTAGCAGTGGTCCAGCCGGCACTGGTGGTGCAGCTAAACAACCAAAACAGCAATCAATCATCTCGTCATTTTCAGCTGTTGCACCATACGAGCAGAACTCAAAGAGAAGCAAAACCATCACAAAAGCTATAACTTTTTGTATTGCAAAAGACATGATGCCTCTGAACACAGTAGAGAAAGAAGGATTTAAGCATTTAATCAAAGTGGTGGACCAGAGGTATGAAATACCTGGCCGAAAGTATTTTTCTCAAACTGCACTGCCACAGCTGTATGATGAATGCAGAGAAAAGCTAGAGATAGAGCTCAAAGATGTTTCATTCAGCAGATAATTTGTTTATTTTGTACCTGTATTGCATTAAAGACACACAGACTGTCAATAAAAGGTTTAACTAATATCTAGTTTCTTTATTTTTACATTTTAAGCTGCTTTAAACTGACTATATAAAAATTAATCGTGATTAAAATCGAGATCGAACGATATGGAAAAATATATCATGATCATTCTTATTGCCATATCGCCCAGGCCTAAAAAGACTTGTATCTTTTTAAAAAAAAATTGTGGATTTCCAGGAAAAACAACCACAAACTAGCAATTTTGATGGATGGCAGGAATAATAAACAACTGCTGGGCGTGGTGCATTGTGGGTAGTCATGTTTTCAGTTATTTTGCTCTATTTTGGGGTGTTTATGCATGTTCATTGTGGAGGATTGTTGTTCTCAGTTATTATTTCATTCAGTGTTGCAGATGTGGTGCTACTTTTTGTATCATGTTAGCCCCGTAAGTGAGGAGGTTGGTCAAAGTAATGCTGTACGGCTGTGCCGTCCCATTGTTACTAACACTGTGGTTGTTCACACCAGATACTCTTGACTTGACTTTGAGTGTTCCACTTTCATTGGCTGTTAGCATCTAGGGGTGTGCGAGTCATGATCTGGTGTTAGTTACTGCCTTCACCAGCCTGCCACATTGTCACTTTTAAGTAAATTCAGCTCATTTGGGTTAGGGTTTAATAGGTCCATTTAGAGTTCATATAAGTTGTATTATTTAAGTTAGTAAAAACATGTAATAAAGTTCAAATAAAATAAAATATGCAAGTTTGGTGAAATAAAACTCTGGAAGTTGCTTAAGTGCTAAGTTATAGGTTGGAGGTAAATGCTTTGATTTTATTCAGGTCGTATTTTTTAGGTTAAGGTAAACATAGTTTTTAGATAAGTTAACTTAAAAATTATTAAGTAATGAGTTTCCTCATACATTTTGAGTTCAGTGAACTTATTCGGGGTTACAGTGTAATATTCCATGACTGCTCAGATTAGAAGAGTTAGATATGTTTTTAATTGGCCTGCTGTGGTTATTAAATTTTTCTATCTCCAGAAAAGGTCTGAGCTGCTGCTCAACTGTTCGTGCCGAGTGAGAAAAAGAACAGACTTCTGAGCTTGGCGTGAAATTCAAACGGCAGACTGAAAAGCGTCCTCTGTAATGTAAACAAACAAGCATTTATGTGCAGCGTTGGCACCATTTTTACACTCTTAATGTCCGATTTCATGTCCTGAGTGTTTGTGAGATCGGTGTTCAGCGAAAGAGGACTCACTCCTTTGCAGATCGCAACAGCTTCACGGGAGAGGCTCTTTGGGTAGGAGACACTCTGCTCCATGATGGACTGGAACAGCTCCTCCTCGTCGATTCCGTCAAACGGAGGCTGAAGGAGGAAGGGGAGGGGGAGAGTCTCGTGAAAAGTGCATTTTAAAAGCCTTTGTGTCTGAGCGAATGGGTTACGGTATGTTGTTAGGAGAAAGCTGAGCATTACCTGTCCTGCCAGCATTTCATACAGCAGGACTCCATAAGACCACCAGTCCACCGCCTTATTATAGGGCTGATACGCCACAATCTGGAGGATGGAGGAGGACGTCAAAGAGAGGAGTGGCAAACGGAGATAGGGGGACAAAAAAAGGGAGGAAGAGAAAGGAAAATGTGAATTATAGGAGCCGGGACGACACGCAGCCTCCAGTCACGTCAGGAGAACGGCAAATGTGTGACTGAGACACGACTTTGGATTTACGTGTTTGTTCTTCTTCTCTGTGTTTGTGTCCATGTGTGGTGCTGTTCCCCCCCCCCCCCCCCCCCCCCCCCCCCCCCAGGGAATTATATTGTATTGCTTTGCAAATGGCAGATGCAGGAGAATCAATGGGTGTTTGCATAAGAGAGTCGATAACCATGCGGTGGGGGGGGGGTATTCATATCAAAAACGCGCATAGCAGTCAGGTCCTCCCTCATTTACTTCACTATATCACTCAACCACACACACACACACACACACACACACACACACACACACACACACACACACACACACACACACACACACACACACGCACACGACACACACACACGCACACGCACACACACGCTTAACAGCATGCAGGCAGACAGCAGGATTTTGCACATCTAAAGGATGTTGGTGCCTTCAATTCTTCTCAAATTCAAAGACATTTGGATTTTCACTTAAATCCTTCTCCTCGTTTCACTTTTCTTTCTTCGTAGCTTTGAACAAAAAGAAACTCGTTGGTTAAAGGTGCGTTAGAAAATCTGGTTTGGTATCTTTCAGCTTCAGGGACTCATCTTTGTCTCTCCTGGTTGTGTCAGAAACACGAGATCAGGAAGGGTTTGAGTAAAAACGGGGAATTAAATTCTGTTCCAACCCTACAGATGGCCACGCTCTGCTGCTGTGGTCAATAAGCCAGAAGAGCCTTCGTTTTTCTGTGTCGCCCCCCCCCCCCCCCCCCCCCCCGAAATATTTATATCAGAAATATTTTCTTAATATTTATTTTAAGATTCCAATAATCAGTTTTGTTGCTTTACTTCATTTTTCGAGTGATTTTTCTGACTTTAAAACCAGCTCAGTGGCTTAGTGGTAGAGTGTCTGCCCTGGGGCTGGGAGACCGGGGTTCAAATCCCGGTCGCGTCATTCCAAAAAGAGACGTTTCTAGGCACAGAAAGACTTCTAGATAAACAGGAAATCAGCAAAGTATCAGAGTTCAAATATTTGGGGGTTATTCTGGACTCCAAATTAAAATTAAATTCACATGTTAAAAAAAGTCCAAGACTATCAAGACTAACATGAACTGTTTTTGTCTGATGAGACCCTGTGTATGTACCAAAACAGCTCAAATGTATATGCATGCAATGATATTTTCACATACCGCTCAGTTATCTGGGGTCAGGCCTCCAAATCTGTTATACAGCCAATAATGTCGTTACACAAGCAAACCTGAAGGTTTTTGATCAGAAACCAGCCAAGTGGCACCACTGCCAAATAATCCAAAAATACCACTTGCTGAGTTTTGACAACTTTATTAATTTTTCATTTATGAAAACAATATTCAAATGTATCAATAGCCTTGCCCCCGAAGTAATCTGTCAGTTAATAGAAAAATACGGTACTGCAGGGATGAGAACAAGAGCTGGGGTCAAAAGGTGTAGGACGACTCTGGGACAATCATCGTTTCCAGTCAAAGGGTCACAGTTATGGAGCACGTTACCTCTGGACCTGAAGTCACCGACAGACTTCAGGATTTTTACAAAAAAACCTGAAGCACTGGTTGAAAGAACAACAACACTGTGAACATTGAAACATTGAAATTGAATCTGAACATGTAGCTTTTAGATTTTTATGTCATTTTATGCATTTTATTAGTGTAACTTGTCACCGCATTGTATTCATATATCTGTTGTTTTAATTCTGTTTAGATATAAATGCCTAACCAGGAACAAGGGCTGTAAATTAGCCTCAGGCTAGAAGCCTTACGTATACTGCATCTGTTGCTTATGGTGATAATGTTTTGTTGTACAGTCCCTGTAAAAATAAAGCAAAGTAAGTAAAGACTTTAAAGATAGGACCCAACTCCTCCCTGCTTGACACTCCGCTTTAAGGGGTTGGATTGGGGGAGGAAATGATCCCTGTCTGGCCCCAAAACAATTTCTAACCGGAATCTGGAGCCCTTGAGCCAGCAAGGCTACAACGAAAACTCCCCCTCAGAAGATATGTGGAATGTGCCGTCGCTATGGCAACTCAACTCTGTCTCCTATCCCAGCCTGGGTGGGACAGCGGGAAGGCCGCTGAAATGTTCCAGGGTCACTGCAACCCTCCTTTTTTCCCCTCCACCTGAACCAATCCTCATGTAACCCTCTGATCGACTCAGGGTTGCGAATGACCACAGTCACCAATTCTTGTCATGTGTCTTGCCCATGCATGTCTGATCTCTGAATTGTGTGTACTGAAACGCTAATTTTCCTCTGGGATTAATAAAGTATCTTTGATTTGATTTTGATTTTGATTGAGCCACTAAATCATTTCCGAGTGCAGCCACAGCTGCATCTCACCGCTCCCCACGGTGATGGGTCAAAGGTGGAGGACAATTTTCACCACACCTCACCAGTGTGTGCGACAATCACATTGATGATCATTTCTTGAAAGTTATTCCAAATAGATTATTGTAGCAATGAAAAGGTAACACATGCAACTGTCAGAGGTCACTACCAGGGTCACTATTAAACAGACAGAAGCACGTGGGGACAAAGGTGTCCTGCGTGAGACACTCCGAACTCTGCCTGTTTGGCAGAAGTGGCTCAAAAGTGTTCAGAAACCCGGATTATCTTGGAATTCTGGTGATTTTCCAACATTTTATTATTATTTAGCTGAACTGGGAAGGGTAAACTGTTAGCACATTAGCTCCACTTAGCATTATCTTCACCAACTGCTTCTGGAGAGAATTTCTTATTCACAGGAAATCCGAGGGCTTGTAGGCTTTGTTGTATTTTTCTGCTATCACCACTTTCTCCTGCATATTTGCCTTTTCCTTCACAGACAAGAATGCAGAGGCGTCCCATTGGGCGCTGGAGAGCGTAACAGCGTCGCCGCCATATTGAGTCCTCACTCTCCAAACCCAACTGGAGTCAACACATATCGGGCAACTATGCTCGTTTTTTGTGCAACAACCGGCAAACTATTGAAAACAGGACACATGGGATTACTATTGGCCTACCTGATGGGATTTTACATTTTAATATATTTTCTTTATTATATTTATATTTGCTCTATATGTCTGATTTTGTTAAAAGCATAATAAAATGTGTTTTTTAGTTGGGTAAGCACCATCTTCAGAAGAAATAAATTCAGGGGGCGCGAATGGGGACCCATCCAAGATGGCGCCCGGCCGCTACGGAAGCTCCACTAGGCAGTACCAGTCTACGGGGCTTCTACGTAAATGACGTCTGTGATTTCATCCGTCAGTTCAGTGCAGCGGTGTGCCTTTAAGCTGCTTCTTCTGCTGGGTTGAACAGGCAGCCTGAGGCTTAGTCCAAGCGCTGCTGCCACCTAGTGACTGGAGGATGCTAACAGTAATGGATCCTCCTGTCTCTCGCGCTCCCCAACCCCCCACTGCTCCGCCTCAGGGAGGCGCACCCCTCTGACTGAGAAACACGCCTAAAGGCGGATTCATGCTTCTCCGCCTGCGCCAGTGCGGAGACACGCAACGCCATTATCTGTCCTTGCGTAGGGCCCCGGCAGGCACGCAAGTACGTACGGAGTCGAGCCCACTTTTTTAAACATCCGTCGAACGAGACGGAGAACGCAAGCTTGTGATTGGTCGGGACGCTGCTGTCGTCTACACTGCCGCCCTCAAAAATACAACAAGAGCCGAGGATAACTAGCGGCAGAGATGGAGCAGCTTGAAGAATACCTCGCGAAAAAACTCCAAAATATGAACGTTTAATTCCCCCGTGACTGGAGGAGTGAAAAGATGCTCAGGAAGCGTTTTATTTGTGGACGGAAATGACAGGAAACGTGGGTTTAGAGGTGGCGAGCGCATGAAGAGGTGGAGGAGGATGAGAGACAAAATTGTCAGTGTTAAAAAGTCTCTTATATACAAATAACACAATATAAACACACTATCTTGGATGACAGGATATCACAGAACAGCGCTACGCCCTCTGGTGTCCTGGCGGGGAATTGCTTTGCAACACTCCCCAGGAGACGGAGAAGCATGAGGGCAAAATGTCTCCGTCCGTGCGTGTTTCTCCCTGTTGGAGCTGACGGAGAAGCACGAATCAGGTTTAAGAAGACAAGATGGAACGTTTAGTTATGTGAAAAACTTGGAAGTGAAATAAATTTTGATATCTTGGCATAAAACAGCCCAACATTCAAACGCTTCCAACGGACTTTCTGTTGGGAATTTCCTTCTGCTCACTTTCAACAACGTACACGTTATCTCCGTGTGACGCAACACGAAAGAAACAGGCAGTTTCACGCGTTTCTCTACGATTAAGATGCTTTCGGCCCCGAGAGCCTGAGATTACACGGAATCATGGGAAGACACTGCAAGGAGAAACATGAAGAGTTTTATCTTTTTATGCAACATTCAATTTCACTCCAAGCAGCAAATTAACTTTAAATTCAAACTTTTTTCAGATAGGGGACTGTGGATTATCACCCGCAATGGAAACAAGTCAGAAGTAAATCCCATGAAGGTTAGGAAGAGTTCAAATAAAGAGGAAAGATTTATTTTATGTGTGTTTAGCGAACCGGTTTGAGTCAAGACTAAAAGTCTTAAGCTGCAGGAGGACGGAACAATCACGAGGTCTCTGAAGGACAGATGAGTTTCTACGTGACACTGTGAAGGCACCGGCGTTGCTAATTGAATCATGTGAGGTTAATTATTTAAAAACGCTGACGAGGTCAGAGAGGACGGAGCAGACGAGAAGAGCTGCTGAGGAGCAACTCCGTCGAACAAGCAGGAAGGGGTGAAGCAGGGAGGGATGGTGCGGCACAGAGAGAGGTCAGAGGTCACGGTACCTCGGGGGCGATGTAGTCTGGAGTGCCGCAGAAGGTGCGTGTGGTGTCACCCTCAAACATCCCCTCCCTGCACATCCCGAAGTCAGCGATCTTTATGTGGCCCTCGCTGTCGAGCAGCACGTTATCCAGCTTCAGGTCTCTGAGAAGCAGGGAGACAAATTACAGCAGAATTCATCAACATCTTTATTAATCATCAGCCACAAAAGATGGGACCAATCTGCAGCACGGCTTTGACATTCAGGTCATTTTAGATCTTCACCTGTAGATGATCCCTTTGCTGTGGAGAAAGAAGAGTCCGACCGCGATCTCCGCTGCGTAAAACCTGGAAGGAAGGAGAACAAGGGACCACTCTCGCGGCTGACCAAAGGGTTTTCTCGCCAACTCAGAGGAAGACGACGAGAGGAGAAGGAGCTGAGGAGGATGACGAAACAGGACAGCAACCAAACAGATGAAAGAAAGAAAAAGAATGGAAATGTGGAGCAGCGTAAGAATTGGTTTTAGATGAAGGTTCAAAGATGATCGATTATATGGGAGGAGGAGAGGAATCTGATGGGAAAAACCAGATCGGCATGAGGAGAGAGCTCCAGGGCCGGTGCTGATGACTGTCTATGAGTCACCAGGCGTAATGCACAAAGAGATGACTCTGCACGCAAATGGATCGGAGGATAAAAGAGAGACGGGATGTGAGACTTTTGTAGATGAAGGCGGTGATCAAAGCTAGGCTTTATCCGTCTACGTACGCCGCGTGAGGCTCTTTGAACTTCCCAACTTGCTGAATGTGAAACATCAGGTCTCCACCATTGACGTACTCCATCACATAGTAAAGACGGTCCTGCAGAAACACACACACACACGCACGCAAGCACACACACACACGCACGCACGCACGCACGCACGCACGCACACACCATCAAATTCATCCTTCAGGAACAAAGAGTGTGTTCAGCAAACAGGGAATGTGGTTTCCCACACCTCCGTCTGGAAGGCAGAATAGAGCGATGTGAGGAAGTGAGGACGAGAAGGGAGCGCCAGAACCCTCCTCTCCACCAAAGCGCTCTCCGTGTCTTCGTCCTGGAAGAGGACGTCTTTCTTCAGCACTTTTATGGCGAACAGACGCTCGCTGCCTCGCTCTTCTGCCAGCAGCACCTGAGCAGACACGAGGAGCAGAGAGACGGTTACGTCTGCGGCGCGTCGGCCAGGAACAACAAACCAGCTGCTGCGTGAAATCCACGAAGAATGGTGCAGCTCCAGCTGTTTCTAAACATAAAAAAATGTTTCTAATTCCAGTTTTTGTAATATTGTTAGAAGTCAACCATAATCTGCACATTCAATAAGACACTTTTTCGTTGATGTACCTCAAACCTTTAGTCAACCTTCACTTAAAGAGACAACGTGCAGTTTTTACACTTAATTTCTGGAAATATCCATCGAAATGTTGTTGAAAGTGAATGAAATGATGCTCAGTTGTTGAAAAATACTGGCGGCTTCATAACATATAACCATAAAAATCAGGTCTAAAATACACGGGAGCAGGTCTAAGGGTGTTTGTCAACGCCAAGGAACCTCGCCTTGATGTCTTGGCCCCGCCCCGGTTGCCTCGGAGATTCGTCATCGGGAGCCGCTAAGACGTGCTCCAGTGTTCATGTTTTACCGAGGCGTGTGTTCTCTGATTGTTAGCCATTTAGCTAGCTGAGAAAGGATACACGGGAGGTGTCTTGTAGCCTAGCCTTGGTCAAAAATTACCCACAATACACCGCAGTGTTTTCAAAAGGATGACAGATCAGAAGCCGGCAGCTACTTCAGGGACAAATTTCAAGTTTAAAAGTAAGTCGGCTAATTTAAAATGTTTCTTTAGATCCAAAAGAGTTATCTATGGTTGGTTAGTTGCTTAGTAGTTGCAGCTTCTGTGGCTACCGGGTAGTAACTCGTTTATATGTTTAGTTTAACCCTCCCACTGTCCTAATGGGCGTGACCCCATGAGGAAAGTTGACCGTTGAGCAGGGTTGATGGTTTATCCCGTGGGTCCATGTGGCAGGGGTGAGGAGTGAGCACCACCTCACCCCTGCCACGTGGACCTCAAAGGCATCAGTCCTGCTCAATGGTCAACTTTCCTCACGGGGTCACACCCATTAGGACAGTGGGAGGGTTAACAAACATATACACAATTTAAAAAAGTAAAAGGCGTCGTCGTCTTCCTCTGCGTATCCGGGTCCGGGTCGAGGGGGCAGCATCCCAACTAGGGACTGTCCTCTCCCCGGCAACCTCCACCAGCTCCTCCGGCAGGACCCCAAGGCGTTCCCGGACCAGATTGGAGATGTAACCTCTCCAACGTGTCCTGGGTCGACCCGGGGGCCTCCTGCCAGCAGGACATGCCCAAAACACCTCCCAAGGGAGGCGTCCAGGAGGCATCCTGACCAGATGCCCAAACCACTACAACTGACTCCTTTCCATCCGGAGGAGCAGCGGTTCTACTCAGAGTCCCTCCCGAATGTCTGAGCTCCTCACCCTATCTCTAAGGCTGAGCCCGGCCACCCTACGGAGGAAACTCATTTCGGCCGCTTGTATCCGCGATCTCGTTCTTTCGGTCATTACCCAAAGCTCATGACCATAGGTGAGGATTGGGACGTAGATCGACCGGTAAATCGAGAGCCTGGCTTTCTGGCTCAGCTCCCTCTTCACCACGACAGATCGGCTCAGCGTCCGCATCACTGCAGACGCCGAACCAATCCGCCTGTCGATCTCCCGATCCCTCCTACCCTCACTCGTGAACAAGACCCCGAGATACTTAAACTCCTCCACTTGAGGTAGGACCTCTCCCCCGACCCGGAGTTGGCAAAAAGTAAAAGGCTCGTTATATATTTATACTGAAACTAATTCGTATAAAATATAACGTTATCTCCCGTGTCACGTGACGTTACGTGACCGCCGTGGAAGCCGCGTTCACGTGATGCAAGTCTGTTCCATTTAATCGTTTCCTTTGACCAAGGAAGGACAGCGTCCTCGTAAGCAAGGCGCCTTGACATTGAAAAACATCCTAAGTCTCCAGGCGACGCCATTTTAGAAGCTATGATTCCTTCTACGGAAGCCTGTGAGGACAAAATGCATTTACTGATTTGTAACAAACAGTCACAAGACTTTCACCATTAATAAACATTGTTGTTTACACATTTTCCTCTTCTCTTGCTGCCAGAGATGAACGGGAATCTGACGTGTTTGTCACGTGGCTGGAGGTTGCACTTCCAGGGATTTTTGACCCTAATGGCCATCCGTTGGGGAGGTCTTACTTGAACACAAAAATATTGCTTGCTTGCAAAAATTAAGGTAAATACTTCCCCCATTGCCAGAGAAAATACACACACAGTCACTTTAAGTTTGAGTGGCTCGTATCCTGTAACACAGCACTTCTGTTTCTGAGATTCAAACTCGAATGAGATGAAAGGTAGTTGTTTGTTTAAAAATCAAAGAGCTAATTAAGCACAAAGTGGGTGTAAATACACACACAAGTCTCTCTTCTTCTGTGAAAAGTTAACTATGTGTGATCAAATGATCATGACCACGATGAGGCAGAAACAAGAAGTTAAAGGATGAAAAATTAATCATTATTTTCCTCCAAATGTTGAGATATTAAAGACCAAGTTCACTTATTTTTCAACACATAAGCAGTCGTCTCTATGTATGAATGCTTTGTGAGTCCATCTCTGTGGAAAAGACACTCCTGTTTCAGGAAGTAGAAGTTAGCCCGAGGAGCAGAGGCGGAAAACAACAAGATTTTGAGTCTTACTTCCTGATATTTTGGACATCTCTACTCTGATTGGCTAACAGCAACAAGCCTCTACCGCTGACTAGTTGCTCTGCAACGCTGATCTTTTATCTTCATAAATAACACAATCCTGGAGGAGTTCTGCTGTGTGGTGGAGTTGCTAATGCTAACAGTTAGCTTTTACTAGCCCAGACGTTCTCTGCTGTTTCCTGGACGCTAAACCAACAACAGCCTTCCCCGTCGTGAGTCCCAAGGGCGTCAGTTTGTTTTCAGAATTGCTGGGGACAATAACCATACACTTGAGTGGGGTTTAAAAATTGCTGGGGACAATGTAGGCTAGCACAGGGGTCGGCGGCTCTGTAGCCGCATGCGGCTCTTCCATCCATCTGATGCGGCTCTCTGTGCTTGTAAAATAATGAATGGATATTTAAATAAAATGCTTTATATTTTACTGCATTAATTTTACATCTGTAAGCTAATTCTAAATGTAAAGATTGTCTGCGTAAACCTGAACAGGTCCAACCCGGTCTTACTGTGAGACCGGGTTGACGCGTCACGCTTGTGCGTAATCATATGCGCTTCCTGAGCTGGAGGATGTCAGATTCTGGGATTCTCCTCAGCTCCTGGATGCGTCGCCACATTGGAGACAGGAACAAGCGCTATTCAGCCAAAGTTTCATAATCAGGGAACATTTTCTAAGTGACAAGTCTCTGAGAGACCGGGTTTGGAAAACGCTCGCTTCAGTGGGAGGAACCTTCTCACATGCGCTCTGGTTCTGAGAGCCTGGATTTGTATTCTGAACAGTCTAAACATGTTTTTAAAAGAAACGTATGACAAAAGTGGCACCTGCTCAGTAAAACCACCAACAGGGTGAAAAATATCAAAATATTGTAGGCAGAGACGGGCTACAACTTCTGGATCATCTTTATAAAAATCGTTTTATTGATTATCTTCTTATGAAAGATAACTTTGACGCACACGAGCGACCAGGCGTGTTGCAAGATTTTCAAAAGTGTGGGGGATGTTGTCTGTGCCTAAAATAATTTGATGTTATTCACCTTGTTAGTTTAATTTCCATAATAGCGGAGCAGGTGCGAATTTTAGACGCGTCACGCACGTCTCCGTTTTAAACATGTTTAAACTGTTCAGAATACAAATCCAGGCTCTGTCTCGTTAGATTGGTGTAACTAAAGTTTGTACAGAATGAAACTTTACATTAAACCATGTTGAAAAGAAAAGGATCCGATTAAATCGTTTCCCCTCATTTACAGTCATGACGTGCAGCGCAGTGCGCATGGCTCTGGGGTTAATCAAGTTTAATTGTTTCTCTTTGCAACAATCTTCACAAGAAGGCAAAACAGTTAAATGGCAGGTTACAGATATTTCCATTTGACTGTATTTTGATGGATAAACTCAAGGATGCTGGCTGTTTTGAAAGAATTACCCCGACGCACACTGATGCGCATGGATGAGCTGACAATTTAATACGCACATCGCAGAGGTAACTTGATTCCCATCAGAACATCAGAGCTTTATACTGGACACTGTGTTCAGCGCGGCTCGGAGCGCCCACGGTGGACAGTGAGCTGAAGATCTGTAGAGGGGTTCGCAGCGCAGTGCAGAACCACGGTGCATGCGATAAGATTTCCTCCCACTGAAGCGGTCTGGAAACCCGGTCTCTCTGAGGGATGGAAAAATGGAAAAATTGGAAAAATGTTCTTTTTATGAAATTATGAAACTTTGGCTGAACAGCGCTTGTTCCCGTCTCTAATATGGACACGCATGACGCATCCAGTCTGAGGCAGAATAGCAGCTTAGAAAGCACCTGTAGAGACATTTGATCATGCACAAAGTTCATGTGGAGCAGAAGTGGTCGGGCCACGGCAGGTGAAATGTTCCTACATGAAGTGAAACTGTTTAATTGTAACATTAATATGTTACTGGACATGCTGGTCTGGTTGGTTAGGCCAGTGTTGGAAGTGGAATACACACACACACACACACACACACACCAATTAAAATAATGCTGATAGCGTGGACTAGAAGACAGGTGATGGTTTTATTTAAATGATGATCAGGCTGCTGTAAAATGTATTCTCCATCCACATCCAGACAGAATGATCCTCTATTCTAGTTGCTCTGCTCTTGTCTGGGCTGATGTAGCTGATGGTGCGCGCGACGCGCCTAACGGCTGTGGTGCACATTTTACGCATTTGGAGAGGTGGGCTGGATGCTTTGCTTTTACTGGAAGATGGTCCACTTAACGCACGGGTGTAGACTACATATTAATGACAAATGAATGAAAATTAAATTGGGAGTTTTTACTTCATATTTTATAAATTAAAATGACGGGGGAAAACATTTATGACGTCTTTTTAAACGAAATTTTCTAGCGCGACCTGCCTGCTTCACTTAAGTCACTGCTTATTAAGGTCCGTCCAGAATTACCGTGGCCCACCCAAAAATGAAAACCTGGCACTGCACCTGTTATAAACCTCTGCAAATTGTTGTTCTTCACGTTATCAAACTCAGACTTTGTACAGCTAATGTCAAGATGTAAAATTATGAATTCAGTCGAGCTCTTCCGTCCCTCCCTCTCCTGCTCTCCTGGAAACCTGACATCGGTTGTCAGAAGCGGGAGGTGAAGAAGGAGATGAGGCAAACAGAGCGAGTGCGACGTAGAGAAACCAGACTGGTGTGGAGGTGAGCAAACAGCTGGAAAAGTGTGGGTGTTGAATCCCCCACGGGTGCGACGCCCATGCGAGCGACCGGTACCGGCTGCTGTCACCTGGTTGTGAGCAGCTCTCTGCTGTCTGAGGGTAGGCCCCGCCCACAATGCTGCGGCTGCTGCGGTGTTTTCTTTACTGTGGGAAACGGGTAATAATGGCTCTTTGATGGGAACAGGTTGCCGACCCCTGGTATAAGATCTGAGCTGGTAAAACAAAAATCCTCATCAGCAGGCTTTTTTGAAAGTGGGGGGGACACAGCTGCCAATCACAAATTTTGCCGGGGACATGTCCCCGGCGTCCCCGGTTAAAATGACGCCTATGGTGAGTCCAGATGGGTGAGTCCGTGAATGTTAGTGACAGTGTGACGTAGATCTATCAAAATTTTCTATCCTAGAGTTTCACCGTCTGTTTTCTATCAGATGCTAATAGCTAGGTGTAGGAGACTATTTTCATGTTCAGCCTGCATGTGAAACTCAGAATGACCGATCAGAAACAAGTATTACACGTTTCTCCTTTAAAGCTGTTATAGGTAGCTTGTTTGTTCGATCTCAGTTTGGAGAAACACAACATAACGACAGGATTGACAAGCTAACAGCTAGGCACAGCAAACCCAAGATCAACGTGGATTACTGCAGTCTGAAAACAGCTCTAATAGAAAAACAACAACGACCTAACAGCTCATGCAAAAGCAGTTTAGAACGACGTTATTCCAGCATCAACATAGTTCCATCCCTGCTTGGATTTCATCATAACAGCAATAATGTGGTAACTGAGATCGTTCAAAGAGTGATTTAAGCATTAAATGTTCAGAAGTTTTATTTAACCAAAACAACTTAAAAACATTCCAATCGTCCTTGAACTGAAAAGATGTTCAGGCTCTACCAGCTGGAGGCTCCGCTGTCTTGAAAAATACCGTGATTGAAACTCATAAAGCAGAATATAGCTAAGTGTTTTAACAGAGAGGTTTGTGACATCATTAAGAAATGACAGTCACGGAGTTCAAGCTGAGGTATGAAACATGATTTTCTAAAGGAACTGATTGGGTGAGAAAATATAAAAGCAAATTTAAATGGATTTTCAGCTCTGAAAGGCTGAAACTGTAGCTGTGCTGCAGCATTTGGATGTGCAGCGGAGCAAAGACGACCTGAGATTTGTGTCTTTGGTGCAATATTTAGAAATAGTTTTTAAAAATATCCTTTTTTCTGTTTAGGGAATGAGAAGAACTTCCACAGCCATAAAGACTGAATTCAACACGATTTTGGACTTTTTCTTGCAGGGACAGATCATCAAATAGACGTAAAATGTGTAAAATCATGCAGAAAAATGAGAAAAGTTCTGCAGCATGTCTGTGCCACGGTGAAACAGCTGAATGTGATGTTTAATTAAAACTGATCCACGTCTGAAAACCAGCAGACATGAAACAACGAATGTGCACAGCTTTCGGGTTATTATCAGGCATTAAAAAGCCATTCCGATGAGATTTGTGGGATGCTGTAGGCGATAATGATGCTGCCATTTCCAACACTGAGCCACGAGATGCAGGTTTTAGGGAAAAGAGGCCGCTGTGATGTGCTGACAACAATGCTGTCCTATTCAATTTTCAATTTTCAATTCAATTCAAGTTTATTTATATAGCGTCCAATCACAACAAGAGTCGCCTCAGGGCACTTTACATAATAAACATTCCAATACAGGTCAGTTCATTAAGCCAATCAGAAAAAAGTTTCCTATATAAGGAACCCAGCAGGTTGCATCGAGTCACTGTCTAGTGTCAGTGACTATACAGGAATCCTCATACTAAGCAAGCATGCAGCGACAGTGGAGAGGAAAACTCCCTTTTAACAGGAAGAAACCTCCAGAGAATCCTGGCTCAGTATAAGCAGCCATCCTCCACGACTCTCTCTCACACACACACACACACACACACACGCACGCACGCACGCACGCACGCACACAAACACACACACACACACATGCAAACATGCACATAAACACACACATACACACGCATGCACGCACGCACGCACGCACGCACGCACGCACGCACACACACACACACATGCAAACATGCACATAAACACACACATACACACGCATGCACGCACGCACGCACGCACACACACACACACACACACATGCACATAAACACACACATATACACACACACGCACACGCACACACACAAACCATAACATATATACCAAGTAATGTCCTACACTGAGATGGCCCCGCCCACTGAAGATAAAGAATCTCGTTTTACTTTCAAATAGTGCCGAACACTTCAGAGATTTCCACCTTTTTATATTTTATAAACCAACGTGCTGCAAAAACGGGTCCTCGAAGGAGACTGTGTGTGTGTGTGTGTGTGTGTGTGTGTGTGTGAGAACATGCTTGTGTGTGTGTGTGTGTGTGTGTGTGTGAACATGCTTGTGTGTGTGTAAATGGTAAATGACCTGTATTTGATATAGCGCCTTCTAGAGTCCTGGAACCTCCCAAGGTGCTTTCCAACACAATCAGTCATTCACCCATTCACACACACATTCACACACTGGTGGGGGGAGCTACAATGTAGCCACAGCTGCCCTGGGGCGCACCGAGTGTGTGTCCATGTTTGTGTGTGTGTGTGTTGTGTGTGTGTCCATGTTTGTTTGTGTGTGTGTGTGTGTGTGTGTGTGTGTGCTGTGTGTGTGTCCATGTTTTTGTGTGTGTGTGTGTGTGTGTGTGTGTGTGCTGTGTGTGTGTCCATGTTTGTGTGTGTGTGTGTGTGTGTGTGTGTGTGTGCTGTGTGTGTGTGTGTGTGCTGTGTGTGTGTCCATGTTTTTTTTTTGTGTGTGTGTGTGTGCTGTGTGTGTGTGTGTGCTGTGTGTGTGTCCATGTTTTTTTGTGTGTGTGTGTGTGTGTGTGTGTGCTGTGTGTGTGTCCATGTTTGTGTGTGTGTGTGTGTGTGTGTGTGTGTGCGCGTGTGTGTGTGCGCATGTGTGTGTGCGCGTGTGTGTGTGTGTGAGTGTGTGTGTGCGCGTGTGTGTGTGTGTGTGTGTGTGTGTGTGTGTGTGTGCGCGTGTGTGTGTGTGTTCATTTTAATGATAGAAGAGAAAGCCGGAGGTTGGCGCTCCGCTTCGTGATTTCACACCAACTCATGTAAAAGTTGGACCCATCAGACTTTTTCTCTGCTGCGATCCCGTTTACTTTTAGTCATTTGATCACATTCTGCTACTCGGTAATCCTCCTCTGTTTCTCTCCATCTCTTGTCATTTTTATCCTGACTCAGCAGCCCCAGGGTCTGTCTCTCCGCTTTTTTTCCTCCATCTTACGTAAGTTGAGTCTATTTCTCTGGTCCTCCGAGGACTCTCCTCTGATAGTTACGAAACAACACAGGGGGATTTCACGGGAGCGGGGAGGACTCAGAACTGCACTCTTTTCATTATTCTTCACCTTCTGGGGAATTAAAGACATAACGAGGAGCGAAGCGTCGCTCGGATCGTTCGGCTGCCTGTGTGGCGTGTAGGAGGAAGGAGCTCCTGAACATCGAAGGGTTAAATGAAACATTTGGCAGGAGGAGGCAACAAACGGGTCAAAAAAACAGAAAATAATTTCTTCATCTTTGCTGTTCCCAGAAGCGCGCGGAGGTCGTAAAGCTTCCTGATTTCTCTTTGATCTCACCTACAGCTGCTGGGTCAGAGGTGCTGATTGTGCTCAGAAACCAGAACATTTCATTTTCCTTTACCTTGCCAAAGCTGCCTTTGCCCAGCACCATGAGGAAGTTGAAGTCGTGGACGCCCACTTTGACTTTGCCAGGACCTGGGGTGTGAATGGGCAGGCAGGACGGGAGCGGGCTCGGGGACAGGCCCACGGGGAAAGGTTCTGGGAGCGGGACCGGGATCGCCTGAGGCGGACAGGGTGCTGCAACATCTGGCTGCGGTTCCTGGAGGATCAGAGCAGGGTGGGGGAGAGTTGAATGGCTGGATGCAGTCCAGCATATACAGCACAAACCCCGTCCTGGCGCCCGAGTTGGACCAGAGTCAGACAGAACGATTGTGCACCCTGCTGGATGCAGAGAGCAGCCGAAGAGAGCGGCTCTAATTTATTATCCAGTTATTTACACACAAAGCAGCGTTCATCCTGCAGCTTTTATTGTCTCAGAGGACGGGTCAGAGCTCCGTCTCGGTGTTTGCAGTGGCAGCTGTTGTGTACTGAAGGCAGATAATTAGATAATGAGGACTATGTCTGATAGCCTAAAAAGAAACGGCTGTAGTTTGATTAAAAACGCATCCGTTCGGCTTCATGCTTCAGGAGTTCTGCAGTACCTGCAGGTCCGGATCCGGAACAGGAATGTTGTAATACTCTCCTTCGTCCTGAGCCAGGAGCTTGAACCAACCACTGATGGGACGCCTGAAGATCTCACTGACGCCGAAGGACAGCGCTCCCATGAAGTCATTCCTGGACGTCCGATCCCAGTCCCACACTTCCACGGACAGACGCCTGTCCCACTGGCTCCCGCGCACCGAGCTGCACACAGAAACAACAAACCAGTGGGTTAACAGCTCAGCATACATGGTCCAAGACAGTTTTCAAAGTCAAAATTTAGTAACTTCACTCTCAGACTGCAGGTTTACTGGTGGTTCCCAGAATATCTAAAAGTAGGATGGGAGGCAGATCTTTTAGTTATCAGGCTCCTCTCCTGTGGAACCAGCTCCCAGCCTTAGTCCGTGAGGCAGACACCTTGTCTACTTTTAAGAATAGGCTTAAAACATTTTTATTTGATAGGGCCTATGGTTAAAATCTGATGTTAGCCTAGATCTGGACAAGTGGGGGAGTAGAGGGAGGTGGAGTGTACAGTCGGTAAAGACGGCTCTCCCTTGCCCTGACTCCAACATGCCTCCATCTAAAAAGGCTAGGTTGTCCAGAGTTATCTCTGTAGCTATGCTGCTGTAGGCTTAGACTGCTGGAGGATACACTGACCACTTTTCACACTCTACTACTTTCTTCTACTATCTGCTCTTTAACTGTATTATTTCCTGCTATTTAAATGGTAAATGGTCTGTATTTGATATAGCGCCTTCTAGAGTCCTGGAACCCCCCAAGGCGCTTTACAACACAATCAGTCATTCACCCATTCACACACACATTCACACACTGGTGGGGATGAGCTACGATGTAGCCACAGCTGCCCTGGGGCGCACTGACAGAGGCGAGGCTGCCGAGCACTGGCGCCACCGGTCCCTCCGACCACCACCATATTTCAGCTGTTAACTTTAATTTCTCTCAGAATCAGAATCAGAATAGGTTTATTGCCATTGTCATTGAACACACAATTCACAAACTAGGAACTTGCTTCGGTACTAATGTGCTACATATAACATGAATAATAAGATTAAAAATAGAATAAAATAGAATAATAAAAAAAAAACTAGAATAAAACTTTCAGCTATAAAAAATGGCAGTGACGTTGTGTCGAGTACAGAAGACCAGCATGGTTGTGTTTATAATCTATTCACAAGTCTAACGGCAGATGGAAAGAAGCTGTTCTTGTGGTGGGAGGTTCTGGTCCGGATGGACCGTGACCTCCTTCCTGAGGGAAGCGGCTCAAAAAGTCTGTGACCCGGGTGAGAAGGGTCAGCTGCTATCCAACCTGTACACCCCCGAGTTCTGGAGACGTACAGGTCCTGGAGAGATGGAAGGCTGCAGCCAATCACCTTCTCAGCAGAGCGCACAATGTGCTGCAGTCTATGTTTGTCCCTCACCGTGGCTCCAGCGTACCACACAGCGATGGAGGAGGTGAGGATGGACTCAGTGATGGCCGTGTAAAACTGCACCATCATCTGGGCCGGCAGCTTGGCCTTTTTCAACTGCCGCAGAAAGTACATCCTCTGCTGGGCCTTTTTGATCAGGGAGCTGATGGATGGCTCCCACCTAAGGTCATGTGTGATGGTGGTTCCCGAAGTGTTTTACTCCCCATAAGAAGAAGCAATGATGGTGTTCTGCTGAGTTGTGGTGGCCTCATGGAGGGGGCCATCGTCTAGCACACTGCTACTAACCACTTAATCATTCTCCCTTTCCTGATAATAACTTTTTGCTTTCCTTGACGTTGGATGTGCTGCTGCTAGTTTACCTGTTTAATTATAGATTCACTAGGATAAACACAATAAAGTTTATCTCTCACCAAATAGAATATTTACTAAGAAATCACAATGTAACCATAGACACATTACTTGGTGTGTGTGTGTGTGTGTGTGTGAGTGTGTGTGAGTGTGAGTGTGAGTGTGAGAGAGAGAGAGAGAGAGAGAGAGAGAGAGAGAGAGAGAGAGAGAGAGAGAGAGAGAGAGAGAGAGAGAGAGAGAGAGAGAGAGAGAGAGAGAGAGAGAGAGAGAAAGAGAGAGAGAGAGAGAGAGAGAGAGAGAGAGAGAGAGAGAGAGAGAGAGAGAGCCGTGGAGGATGGCTGCTTATACTGAGCCGGGATTCTCTGGAGGTTTCTTCCTGTTAAAAGGGAGTTTTCCTCTCCACTGTCGCTACATGCTTGCTTAGTATGAGGATTGCTGTAAAGTCACTGACACTAGTCAGTGACTTGATGCAATTTGCTGGGTTCCTTATATAGGAAACATTATTTCTGATTGGCTTAATGAACTGACCTGAATTGGAACGTTTATTATGTGAAGTGCCTTGAGACGACTCTTGTCGTGATTTGGCGCTTTATAAATAAAATTGAATTGAATTGACTTGAAGTAAAAAAAATAATATATATATATATTAATATATATATATATATATAAAACAAAACAATCCAAGCTGTTTCCACATTTAGGTTCATGTTCATGTTTTGTCACAAGACTCACAAGGTGAAGCTCTCATTCCAGACAGGATTGAGTGTGGATCGGATGGTCTTAGTTTTCTGTTTGCTGTGGCTTTTTGGGTCTGGAATCAGTTTTAGTTTGACGTAAGGATCGGACAAACCGTTTGGATCCATGGGCATCAGGTTTCGAGCCTCCCGCACTGAAGAGAAAATAAAATACCAAAATGAAACACAAAAACCTGTCCCCAACATTTCAGTCACAACCAGGTAACAGGACAGCAGGTTGTCTCACCTGTGACGTAGATGTCCTCCTTGTCTCCTCTGATGGTCAGGTGGATTCTTCCTCTCTTCTCTGTGTGGTCCTGACCACAGAGACTGGGAACGCTGGACTCACACCTCCGATGGACGTTCATGTCACAACCTCGTCAGAACAACAGACACATGGAGATTCAAAGGACGCCAAATCTCTCTCACGCAAAGCCTTTTCAGCAGTTTTACTCTAGACATTTTCAGTACCTCACAGAATGAGCTGTTTCAGAGTTCTGCCACTTTAAGAAAACAAGCTGGAGCTGCCCCCCCTCCCCCCCCTCACTCAGGCTGCTATAAGCTTAGAAGCTCCAGTATCCAGGAGAGGCTCTGGGTAGAGCTGCTTCTCCTCCACCAGCAGCTCCTTCTAACTCATCAGGTGGTTTTATTTTGATTTCCCCATTTGTGACATCACAAAGAGGTATTTTTTGAAATGGCTTGTTTTGGACACAAAACCCCTAAAACCAAACACAGCTGGACATGTTTTTATTCATGTTTGTGGTGTTTAGAGGCAGTAGAGACCCACATAGAAGCACAAAAGCTGAGTTTTGCATAATATGTCCACTTTAAAGAAATAAAATGTTCTAAATCTTCAAAACCCACTTAGTATCGAAAAGGGTTTCATCTCATTTCCTCCTATAACAATACATACATCTAATCTGACCTCACCAAAACAAACTCAAATGACTCCAGACTTTGATCCAACTTTTTTTTTCTTGAAAACACTTTAAGCAAAGTGTACGAGATAACAAAAGTTGTTTGTTCTTCACTTTTTCCACCCAGATCAGCTGCAGACAAAAGCACAGCATGGGTGGGGGAGGTGCTGGTGCTTGTGAATACACACACGACTCACATCAGGTAATGACAGTGACAACTAATCTCTTTCTGCCAGGCAATAAACCCTGTCTGCAGGTAAATTATTGACATTATTATCTCATACAAGAGCTGACGGGGACAGAGTTTCTGTTCAGAACAGCTTCCTGCAGGTTCTACGTTTGAATCTGAGAACATGAAACAACTTGTAGCGACCATCTACTCAACTTTTATTAATGAAATATATTATTTTATCCAAAATTTAAACACTAAGTTACAATTATTTTAATTCTGCAGGTGTGTTAATCACTAGTTTGTTCACAACACGCTTATATCAGGACGATGGACTGCATTTCGATGTTTGCCGACATCTCAAATGCAGCCACACCGTTTCGGTTTGATTCAGTCTGATCAAAACAAAACGATGGAACGAGTGACTGAACACGATCCCAGAGGAGAGACGATTTCTTCTCGGACTGTTTATTTCCGTAACTGGGCTGCTCTGGGTGGCTGCATGTTGGAGTAGCGCTGTTGACTATATGTAAGTTTTGCCTTTCCTTGGGCATTTTTTCTTAAAGTTTCTCAAGAAAAACTGTATTTTTTGGACAATTTACTTTTCTGTTTCTGGTGCTGTGAAGCTTGGAGGATTTGTACGGCTATTTTTTAGCTTTTTTCACTTTTTGAGCATTTGTTATGATGCGTAACCATGGCAACAAGCTGGTTTACAAATCGGGAGCAGCTGATTAACATTGGAGAGGCTGAAATAATACCTCAACTGAAGCCACAAATCCCAAATGAGCTAAAACGCAAGAAGCGTGGCTGCAGAGCGGGAGCTAAACGGAGACGGAGAGGAAATTCAAACCATCTCTTCCATCGATCATAATGGGGAATGTGAGATCACTGGTCAACAAGATGGAGGAACTCCAAGCCCTTTCAAGGACTCAGCCAGAGTTTCGGCAGTTTCGGAACCGCTGGAGGAGATAATGCAAAGAAGGATTCTCCAGAGAATCAAGAACATGATGGACAACCCTGAGCGTTCTCCTCACAAGACTGTCCGACAACGGAAGAGTGTCTTCAGTCAGAGGCTTCTTCAGTTTGGCTGCAACACTGACCGCTCCTGGAGATCCTTCCTGCCAACAGCCATTGTAATATACAACAACTCTGTGATGACTTGATTATTATTATTATTCTGAGCTGCTACAGCAATCAATGTCCCTCTGGGATTAATAAAGTATTTTTGAACTGAATTGAATTGAATTCTCTCTGCATGCCATGACGCTGCTAGCTTCTTCCTTCAGCGTGTTTGGTGATGTGCAGGAACAGGTAGAAAACGGCATGTTAGCAGAATTTCAAAATAAATCAGATTTCAAAATAACAGTGAGTTTGATAAATAGTTCTATCTTTTCTATTGATTTTTGCATTTTGGATCAGTGACCATGTAAAGGATGTATCTTTGTCAGGGGCAGTTCTAGGGTGGGCCAGTGGCACCCTGGCAGCAAGCTTGGACCCCCCCTGTGGCCCCCCTCTGCTGAGGGCAGAGCCTAAGCATTAATAAGTACTGACTCATGTAAGATGCTGAACCAAAGCATGTGAATGAAATCAAAAAGAAATGATTAGACAAATATTTTCATGTTGACACTGAGACACATAACCCAGATATCACTTATTTGAAATAGTTTGAAAGTTTGAAATAAATACAAAATATATTTATTTATTTTTTTAACTTTTGAATACTTAAGACTCTGACAAAAGTGCCTCTCCAAGCCTGGCCCCTCCCCCACACTTATTCTAGAACAGGGTCAAGTTGACGTCCCTGGAGGCCACAACAATGTGATTTTCTTACGGTAAAAACTGCAGACATTATTTTATGGAAACTTTATTCATTTGTTTTCATAAAAAATGGTCCACAATAGAAATGTAGGCAGAAAACAGTGACACTTTAGTTTAGAGAACACAAATTTACCATTAATTAGCTGTCAATTAATATGTATATTAGTGGACTACTAAGTCTGAATTGGTCATTATTAAGCTATTATTAGGTGCTTATTACCAATGCTGTAATTCTAATATTAACAGGCCATAAATTAGGAGTTTTATCAAAATAAGTCATTCATGATGGTTTCCATCCATCCATCCATCCATTTTCAGCCCCTTATCCGGAGTCGGGTCGTGGGGGCAGTAGCCTAAGGCGAGAGGCCCAGACTTCCCTCTCCCCAGCCACCTGGGCCAGCTCCTCCGGGGGAATCCCAAGGTGTTCCCTGGCCAGGTGAGAGACATAGTCCCTCCACCGTGTCCTGGGTCTACCTTTAGGACTCCTCCCGGTTGGACTTGCCCGGAAAACCTCACCAGGGAGGTATCCTAACCAGAAGCCCGAGCCACCTCAACTGGCTCCTCTCGATGTGGAGGAGCAGCGGGTCTACTCCGAGCCCCTCCCGGATGACCGAGCTTCTCACCCTATCTCTAAGGGAGACCCAAGCCACTCTTCGGAGAAAACTCATTTCGGCCGCTTGTATCCGCGATCTCGTTCTTTCAGTCACTACCCAAAGCTCGTGACCATAGGTGAGGGTAGGAACGTAGATCGGCCGGTAAACCAAGAACTTTGCCTTCTGACTCAGCTCTCTCTCCACCACGACAGACCGGTACAACGCCCGCATCACTGCAGATGCAGCACCAATCCGCCTATCGATCTCACGCTCCAGCTTTCCCTCACTCGTGAAAAAGACCCCGAGATACTTAAACTCCTCCACTTGGGGCAGGACCTCATCCCTGACCCGGAGAAGGCATTCTACCCTGTTCCGATTCCAGACCGTGGTCTCGGATTTAGAGGAGCTGATTCTCATCCCAGCTGCTTCACACTCGGCTGCGAACCGCTTCAGCGGAAGCTGAAGATCACGTTCTGATGAAGCCAACAGGACCACATCATCTGCAAAAAGCAGAGACCTGATCCTCAGGCCACCAAAACGGATGCCCTCCACACCTTGGCTGCGCCTAGACTTCAGCTTTTAACGAAGTAATTCACGGGGAACATATCCTTGCTTACAAGTGGTTAGTTGATTGTTGTTTAGGCTCTATTAACATTCAGAGTTTGCTGTTTATTTACATAATACTACAACATAATATTTTTGGTTATCAACTATTCCCCTTGAGTTACGTCTTTAAAAGCCACACACTGATTTGAGCTAATTAGCATATGTGCGTTAATCAGCAACAAACCGTTTACTTTCAATTAACAAACCATTATGAATGGCTTATTTTGATAAAACTCTTAATTTATGGCCTGTTAATGTTAGAATCACAGCATTGGTAATAAGCACCTAATAACAACAATGACAAATTCAGACTTAGTAGTCCACTAATATGCATATTCATTGGCAGCTAATTAATGGTTCTTTTGTGTTCCCTGAACTAAAGTGTTACCGAAAAAACAAACAGATGTTGGTTTATGTGGAGAACCTGCTGGAGAGTAGAATTATACGCCAGTCTGCTGGCAGGTGAGCACAACACTGACTATCCCCGAGATCCTCCCTGCTGCCCCTGTTGGAGTCAAACAGCTCAGATGTAATGGAGGGGCACTATTTAAACCATGTCATCACATTTTGACAGTGATAAATGTTACATGGTGCAACTATTCTATTATTTTAAGTCCTTAATAATCATTTCATGACCCAGAGTTGGAGTTTTGGACCCACGGAGGAAATTCCGACCCCAGATCTGTAAAACCGCTGTCTTTAAGAAGGCTTACAGCCTGTTTAAAGGTGGCAGGGTTAATTTCTGTGTCTATAAACAAACATGCAGGCTATTTGTGTTCTTTGTGAGCTGGACTTTGGCCCAGGGACTTGATTAATGTGCCCTAACTTCCGCTGCGCTGCACACGAACCCAGCGGGAGGTGAAACTTACTGGCACATCTCATTCCCTGGTGAATGAGGCCGTACAGCAGCGAGCCACAGTGGTCGCAGAACGTGGGACTGGAATACGTGTGGACTTTAAATGCATGTCGGCTCTTCAGGTCCTGAAACCGAGAAAAACACCACAGTTATGAAAATAAAAATGATCGAACGCCCGTTTGACACAAAAATGAGGCGTGTGATTGCTGAAACAGGACATCCATGAAGAAGCCAATTAGACGCGTCCACTGGGAGAGGACACTCACTGCGTCCAACTGCGTGTTTACTGTACTCAAAGGAATGAATCATTTTTATCTCCCTCCGACCACGTTTCACACACCACCCTCTCCCAAACTGTACTCCGTTCTTGTTGCTATTTAAAACACTGTCACCCACTCCTCTTGAGGAAAAGACAAATCTCCCTAATATCCTCGAGATGCCTCCCAGAGGAGAGATCTCTCCCTCCTGCACTCCCCCCCTCTTAAACTCCCCGAGTCTCTCGCAGGATGACATGACATGAGTGCAGACGGATGACTCGCGCGCACACACACACACACACCAGCAAACAGATAAATACGTAGATGACAGCGGGATGTAGATTTTGGCAAAGATGGAAAACTGGAGGGTAAGAAAGGAAGTGCACGTTGACGCGCGCTTACGTCGGGTCTCGGGGCGGTCACAGATCCGGGACATGTGAAGGTTACAAACTCATGACATCGTTTATGGACCACAAAACTGCAAACTGGGAGAAAAAAAGGGAGAAGAGTCCAAAATCTGCACCCAAGAAGATAAAATACTGCAAAAAAAGAAAATAATTTTTTTTTTTAAGTGAACTGCAGCAGGTTTATCTCTACCTTGGCACTGGAATCCCTGCTTCCCAATGCCCCTGAATGAGAAAGGCACACGGATCAGGTCACAAAACTGCTCCTCTTCAAGGTGAAACACTTTTCATTTGCTTTATTTTCTCTAAGCTGAAGACAAACAACTTCAAACGTAATCAAAACAGAGTCCAGATGTGAAGTTTGAGCACCTTTTATTTAAGAGACGCACAAACTTCCTCCTCGAGGTTCTAGATTTGCAGCGTAGGTCGGTTCCTCACAGCTTTAATTGAATAATTAAAGCCATTGATTGACTAAAGTGTCCATTCAGCAGCCTGCCTGCTGTGGATCAAGTTTGATTAGGAGGTTTAGAAAGTCAGACAATTGAGACGCCGCAGAGAGCTCTTCCACAATCATCCACGAGAGGCACAGGAGGTTCACAAGAAAGTGACCATAATCACTGATCTACGATCAGTTCACCATCTGGCTGAGTAATAATTACAGATGAGGTTGCAGAGGGTAATCTGATCCTTGATCAGCATTCAACACGAGTCTCTTTGTGGCCTTCTGCAGCCCTGAGAGGGAGGCTGTTCTGTGTTTTTACCAGCAGAGAGCATTAAAGAACCAGAGAAGGAGTTCACCTCCACCGATAAACAAATCCTGCTTTTTTTTATTCAACAACAGGCTGAGACAACTGCTAAAAGGTCCTTTTTTCTTCATCATAGATTCATGATTCAGTAGAATGCCGTCACTGATGTCTAAAAACAGAACGTAACATTAACGGTGACATTATATGTTACAATGGTCTGCCAAACGTTCCTGTTTCCTGTATTCTTGCCAACAGTGTGATTGTATGTTATCATTGTGATGAAATAAATGGATGATTGTGCTTTTCACTCAGAGATCCAGATTACAAATCTTGCCTTGTTCGGTCGTAATCTCCCAGCTGCCGTTGCTTTAGTCCCTTGTTGAAATATAAAAATAAACAGAACACCTAAAACATTCTTAATTCATTTATGTTGTCTAAATATAACCAGAAGTTAACAAAAGTTTAGTAAATGCCATCAAAGCAACACTAAAAAGACATTTCTTCCCAAGGCTCTTTGTCCTGTCTGCCCACAGAGCACTTCTCTGCATTTCCTCCGAAAAACTCTATTTTTACTAACCATGGATTTGATAAATTGGTCATTCAGAGCGATCGATACGATTTTTTCAACAATGAGAACGGAGCAGGGGGCTCCCACATGTCCACGGGTGACACACCCGGTGGGATATATGCTGGATTCCTGGAGGGAGTGGAAGATCATATGTCTCAGCCAGCTGTCCATTGAGGACATTGAAGACGTGTGGATATTTGGCCTGATGATCACTGGATTTCTCCTGATTGGAGTGGGAGGATATCTGGTTTTCTGGAAATTTGGGAAGACGGGAGAGATTGGAGGGCGACCCGCACCAACAGAGAGCACCGTCCGTGTGGAGACCTCACAGACTGGGACGTTACTTGAGCCGCAAGCAACTAAAACCCCCCCACGAAGGAATGCAGACAGATGCTGTGAAAACCCGACCCCCGCCTTCAGATTGGGGGACTTCAGCCTGGTGAGGTCATCAACCTGCAGGAGTCAATGTACTCTTTGCTTCTCCCAAGATCTCCCTCCCACCTGTGACTGTACAGCAGATGAGCGCCAGATGGCTGCTCTCACTGGGGGAACAGAATCCCAGTTTAACATCAGTTCATCATCATGAAACAAAAGAATAAAGTGGAACAAGAACTTCTGTCTTCTATTTCTCTCTCCTTTTACCGTCTCCGTGTCCCTATATAAGATGACCACGCTGCAGCCGCCGTCACTGACCCCGCCCCATCTCCAAGACCGGATCTCCCAACATCACAACACTCGGACTGACTGAGCGCTTCCAGGAGAAATAATAATGAAATTATGAAAATAATAACGCGTGTTTGGAGGAGCGTCCTCCGATCGCCTCTCTCTCTGTCTCTTACTCTCACTCTCTCTCTTACTCTCACTCACTCTCTCTCTTACTCTCACTCTCTGTCACTCTCTCTTTCTCACTCTCTCTCACTCTGTCACTCTCTCTCTCTGACTCTGTCACTCTCTCTCGTTCTCTCTCTCTTACTCTCACTCTCTGTCACTCTCTCTCTTTCTCACTCTCTCTCTCTCTCTCACTCACTCTGTCACTCTCTCTTTCTCTCTCTCTCTCACTGTCACTCTCTCTTTCTCTCTCTCTTACTCTCACTCTCTGTCACTCTCTCTCTTTCTCACTCTCTCTCTCTCTCTCACTCACTCTGTCACTCTCTCTTTCTCTCTCTCTCTCTCTCACTGTCACTCTCTCTTTCTCTCTCTCTTACTCTCACTCTCTGTCTCTCTCTCTCTTTCTCACTCTCTCTCACTCTGTCACTCTCTCTCTGTCTCACTCTCTCTCACTCTGTCACTCTCTCTCTGTCTCTCTCTCTCTCTCTCACTCTGTCACTCTCTCTTTCTCTCTCTCTTACTCTCACTCTCTGTCACTCTCACTCTCTCACTTTCTCTCTCTCTCTCACTCACTCTGTCACTCTCTCTTTCTCTCTCTCTCTTACTCTCACTCTCACTCTCTCTCTCTCACTCTCTGTCACTCTCTCTCTGTCACTCTCTCTCTCACTCTCTCTCTCTCACTCTGTCACTCTCTCTTTCTCTCTCTCTTACTCTCACTCTCTCTCTCTCTCTCTCTCTCTCTCTCTCTCAGTCGCTGATCGAGCGAGTGGAGAGCGCCGCGTGACAACCCTCTCAATTAACATAATTTACGGCCCAAATCCAACAGAACCGTTCGGGCTGATTCGGTTCGGGTTCGGTCTCAGGTTATGGCTCCAGCGCTCAGCCCTGCAGTACCACATGAAGATGGACCAAAGTTTCCTACCTGGTAAATGTGGAGAACACCACTCTGACAGATCTGGATGCTACGCTGGTGCCGCCATTAAAAAACCACATTCCACTATAACTGATTATGGCTCCTCTTCTATGATGCAGAATCGTTTATGCCCACCTCATGCATTATTTGATTATTTTCCTCAGCTCCATCCTACACCTCCCGGTCGGCCATCAGGGGTGGGGATGGGGGGGGGGGGGGGGGGGGGGGGCGCGTCGGGTTTGGGGGCCACAAAGAGAGGGCCTGCGGGATTGTATTGTATTTGAAGCGGTGCGGCTTCGCTGCCGTTCCGTTCCGCTGATGCTTGCAAAGTGAAACTGGGGTTGAGCCCTAGGCTTATTTTGAAGCCTATTCCTCGAAAAATGGTAAAAAATAGTTTAGATAGCGTTGTAGTGCTGGGTTTGCTGATTAATTTGATGGGAATTATTACTATTCCTTCCGCAGTGAGAAGGTTGTTTTGGGCCTGTTAAGGAACTAACGTCACAGGGTCATCCACCTGTGGGACCCCAGGGCTTAAGGGGTTAAAAAGATGAGTTTTCATTAAAGATTTAAAATGTTCAAGACTGTGAGCAGTCCTCTTACACAAAGGCGGGCTATTCCAGAATTTTGGTTAACTACAGAGAAGGCCCTGACATCACTGCTCTTAAAACGAGATCTTGGAAAGAACAACAGGTTCTGGAACTGGTTCTGGTTGGACCACGGGGATTCGGCAGCTCGGAGATGTGGATACCGGGCAAGGATCTAAAATCAGTGAGTGAGATTTTAAAAAGGATTGTGAAATAAACAGAACTGCAGTGACGCCAAGACTGGAGTTTTGTACTCGTGTGTTTTGGTGCTGGTCAGCAGGCGTGCCGCCGCGTTTTAGACCAATCGCAAGGTGCTGAAGGGAGTGGTCCAGACCCAGAGGGAATTCCAGTAATCCAACTGTGAGACGCTACAAGACAACACAAGCAGCACACTTGTGTCCAACTGAAATAGCCAAAGCCTAAACACCAGGAGACGCGTCGCCGTGCACACTGCTGGCGCCGCCACCTTCAAGAGTATTCAATTTGCTGGGGACCGTGTTAAACATGAGACGACTTTAAGAAGGACTGGCAACCAAATGCATAGGTGGGAAACAAACTGACACATCATTAAGAAAAGTTGTGGATATTATTCCGTATCCTCCGCAAAACCCAAACACGGTTAAAACTTGTTGAGGAAATATCGGCTTTATTCATTTATTTGTAGTGTTGTGTTTTCATGAAGTCACGCCTGAGTGAGGTGGACTGGCCCATCTGGCATTCTGGCACTGTCCCGGTGGGCCGCTTGCCCAGCTTGGGCCGACACTACTCCACAGTTGGTGATCTGCAGAGCATTAGCTACATGGTAACCTGACGCTAATGTAATTTTCCAGGCATTTTTAGCAAGAAAAACACGGTAGAGCGATGACGTAGGAGTTGTTTTACAGCGTTAGCATGTAGCTAATGTCCCGCTGATCTGGAAGGCCAGGGCTCCCGGTCGCAGCGGTCTGGCCCTGCTTGTAATTTAACAGTCCCAGTCCATATTAGATCTCACATTCGGCCCAGAGATGAGTCCGTGGGCGGCACCCCCCCCCCAATGGGGAGGGCTGACGATTCGTAAAAATGCCAGGGCCGAATTTTGGTCCCAGTCCACCCCTCAACACATCCTGTTTAAAAGAAACAAATGAACCCAAAACCACATCTCATTTGGTTAAAGTTGAGTTCATGGTTCAACATTAAATTGGCCAAAAGAGGCATCCACGGGAGAGCTGGAGTAAAAAACCCACAAAGATCCATCTCATAAACTCGATTATCCTCAAGATTCCCGGAAATAATATCTTGTGACCGGATACGAGAAAAGCGGAATACTTAGGAAGGTGTGTCTTCTGTTACATCTGGTGTAAAATGAACTTTTAGATAAACATCATCACAACAACAGTTGGTTTCTCCCGTTTCTCCCAATGGGGAGGGCTGACTGAGGGTCGACGATTCGTAAAACTGCCAGGGCCGAATTTTGGCCCCTGTCCACCCCTGGCCGGAGCTTAAAGTGTGTTTAAGTAATAAGTAAACCTGCTTTCATCACATTTCCACAGAAATTCTTTTGAAAAGATCCAAACTGTCTCTTTCACACACCGAGACAATAATAAACACGACACTCAGAATGACTAATCAGAGCAATCTTGTGTCGATCTTTAATTAATGATCTAATGATCTCCCCGGAGGCTGATATACCTGGGTGAAGGCTGCTGCGCTGACGTCTCGCTGAAGGTTTTTCACCCTGAGTTAGGAGCTGCTGCTCGCGCCGAGACAGCAGCCAGTTGGAGAAAAGTCCAGGAAGATGCCCGGAGGCTGCTGGCACATTTAACGCCCTGCATCGGCATATGGTGCATCCCAACCATATGTCCAAACACACGTCCACACACAAGGACTCGCAGTCCTCAGCGGACAGAACAATCTCACTGCACCATGTCTGCTCGTTCCTTCTTTTCTTTTATTAAACATCACAGCAGAGACGCTTCATCGCCGGGTTTTTCCTGGAGAATATGCTGCATAAATAAACTCTACGAACTATAAAATTCTGCAAGAAATCGGGAAAAAGAGCTGTATTTGTGGTATTTTGGGTTCTGCATTTGATCACACCTAACACCTTACTTTTTTCTAGGAGTCATTGACCATTTCATTCAGTCGAATTTCATTTCCAATCATTTTTCCATCAACATCCGGAGTAATTTGCTGTTTAGTGTGAAAAAATTTAGGACTACATTTTTTTAACAAGGTTTTGAGAGTGAAAGACAGCAATCTCCTGCGTGGTGCGGGCTGACGGGGTTGTGTGTGACCACATCGGGTCAGTGTGGGCAGAATCTCCAGCAGGCAGCTGGAATTAGTGAAAAGGAGAAAAAGTCAGCACTAAGCCGAGTGTTGGGATGCCTGAGGAGCTAGAAAAGGATCTGCTGTGTGTGTGTGTGTGTGTGCGCGTGTGTGTGTGTGTGCGCGCGTGTGTGCATGTGTGTTCGTGTGTGTGTGTGTGTGTGTGTGTGTGCATGTGTGCGTATGTGTGTGCGTGCGTGCGTGAGTGTGTGTGTGTGTATGTGTGTGTGTGTGTATGTGTGTGTGCACGTGCGTGTATGTGTGTGTGTGTGTGTGTGTGTGCACGTGTGTGTATGTGTGTGCGTGTGTGGGTGTGTGTGTGCGTGTATGTATGTGTGTGTGTGTGTACACATGCGTGTGTGTGTGCGTGCGCGCGTGTGTGTGTGTGTGCGTGTGTGTGTATGTGTGTGTGTGCGTGCGTGTGTGTGCACGTGTGTGTATGTGTGTGCGTGTGTGTTCACGCGTGTGTGTGTGCGTGTGTGTATGTGTGTGTGCACGTGCGTGTATGTGTATGTGTGTGTACGTGTGTGTGTGTGCACGTGCATGTGTGTTTGTGTGCACGTGTGTGTATGTGTGTGCATGTGTGTGCACGTGTGTGTGTGTGTGTGTGTGTGCATGTATGTGTGTGTACGTGTGTGTGTATGTGTGTGCGTGCGTGTGTGTATGTGTGTGTGTGTGTGCGTGTGTGTGCGTGTGTGTGCACGTGTGTGTATGTGTGTGTGTGTGTGTGTGCGTGTATGTATGTGTGTGTTTGTGTGCACATGCGTGTGTGTGTGTGTGTGCGCGTGCGTGTGTGTGCACGTGTGTGTATGTGTGTGCGTGTGTGTTCACGTGTGTGTGTGTGTGTGCGTGTGTGCGTGTGTGTGCACGTGTGTGTGTGTGTGTGTGCGTGCGTGTGTGTGCACGTGTGTGTATGTGTGTGCGTGTGTGTTCACGTGTGTGTGTGTGTGTGTGTGTGTTACCATATGAAGTCAGTGCAGTGGCTGCAGAAGGTGGGCTGTTTGAAGAAGCGTGCTGTGAACTGGTGGTCTTTCACCTCGACAATCCTCTTGTGTTTGAGCGCCCCTTTCCTCTGAAACACGGGCACCCTGGGTGGAGGTGAGAGGGGTGAGGGCAGGGGGGAGGTGGCAGATGTAGGGGAGGCCAGAGTCAGAGGCGAGAGGGCGGGGGAAGGGGACACCGGGGTAGACATGATGCCTGGAGGATGCAGCAGAGAGGCAAAAGAGGGAGAAGCGGGGAGTCAGTACTGGCTTTCAGTGAAGGAGGCTTAGAGATGTGCAGGAAGAAAAGACCTTGAGAAGGGGTGAGGACTGGAGGAGGAGGAGGAGGAGGAGGAGGAGGAGGAGGAGGAGGAGGAGGAGGAGGAGGAGGAGGAGGAGGAGAAGGCAAGGACAAGGAAGGAGAAGGACGGTGGACAAAAATGTAACGGGTCACAGCAGAGACAGGCAGGCAGGATGTAGGGCAGCGAAGACGTGATGGGATGAGGAGAAAGATCCAGAATGGATGAGATGGAGGGAGCGCAGAGAGAGCGACAGGTAGAGAGGGAAAGAGGAGAGAGGTACGATAAACGAGACAGGATGTTAATTCTCACACAGAGACAGACGTCTCCGATGAGACTCTGAGACACTAAACAATTAACGCAACACGTCGTGTGTCCCACATACAGGCCGTTCTTCCCTCATATCTCCATCTCACACTCACACACACACACACACACACACACACACACACACACACACACACACACACACACACCCTCCGGCCGTTGTGTCAACCACCTCCTGTTGCCATGTCAACAACACCCCACCAGCTGCTCCAGTATCAGAGCCTGCATCCCCATCTCGTCACCCTGCCTGCCCTTATTAGCAATCAGTCGCGTTCCTGCAGAAAACTCTGAGCCAGAATAACGTTTGTATGTCTGCAGGGATGAGAGGCACGAGGAAAAAAGTGCTAAATGGCAAATATTAGCCGGAGAGGTTGTGTTCAAGAGTTAGCCGCTATTTAACGATAAATAAAACACCAAGAGAGATTTAATGAATAAATAAACAAGCCCCGAGCTAAAAATGATGACTGAAAAATAAAAATAATGAAGCGATGGTGTCTCAGCAAAGGAGCCGGAGCAAATCAATTAAACCCCTGAAACAGGTGAGTGGGAAGGAAATGGCCCAGCGCTGAGAGCTGACGACAAACAGAGCACAGCAGAGAAGATAAAGAAAGAACGAATACCTGAGTTTATGGTAATTTCCACCGAAAGACGGTCTCGCCCACTTCCTCTTCTTCGCTCTTCGTCTGGTGGAGCTCAGATTAAAGTCTAAGTGGCACCTGTAGCAAATCAACTCAACAAAAGTCCAAAAAGAGAAGCCAAGGAAAGCACTGAACTGCAGGAGAAGCAGCTCGAGAGACAAAAGACTCACGAATAACTGAAACACGAATGCAACAAGCTATTTTAAAGATTCAACTTTTCCAGGAAACAAAGATGGAGAAATGAAGCTGAAATCATCCGGCAACCCAGAGGCAGGGTGAGTAGGAGGATGAGATGGAGAGGTGCTATTCTCTTTCCAAGATTGATCCTGTATTTACGAGGATGAGAGAAAGAGGAGTAAGAAAACAGAGAGAGAGAGAGAGAGAGAGAGGGAGGGAGAGAGAGAGAGAGAGAGGGGGGAATAGGCGACGGTTCATTTAGAAATCTGGGTTACTTCTCTCTGGAGAGGCTGAGGGAGGTACAGGAAGGAGGACGGATACAACAGAAGCTGCCATTTTGCCACAATCGGTACAGTATGGACACGCGAGCGCCAACTTTCTCCCACGTCCTCTGGTGCCAAACGAAGGAGGGGAACAGTTAGACCATGAAAAAAAAAATACGGGAAAACTCAGCTGTGATTTTCCAAGAAATGACAAGTTCAGCTTGGAAACAAAGCTTTGCATCAAATGAAGAAGGGATGAAGGAGAGATGAACGGGCCTGAAGGAAAGAGGGCACCGTCGGTCCGTTCTTCAACAGGACGATCTGAGATCAGAGCCAGTGGCGGCAAAACAACACCAGCTCCAGTCTGCACTGAATCCAGGTCAGCGCAGCCTGATGGGAAGGGTGGTTTCCACCAGGGACGGGTTGATTGGACACCAGTTTCACACACACACACACACACACACACACACACACACACACATACACACACACACACACACACACACACACACGCACACAAATGCATGCAAGCACAAAAAACACACATGTGTGCACACACACACACAAACAGACACATGCACATGCATGCACGTACGCACACACACACACACGCATGCATGCATGCACGTACGTGCACACGCACGCACACACAGATACGCGCGCACATGCACGTACGCGCACGCACTCGCACAAACACGCACGCACACACACACACAGACACGCACGCACACACACACACAAACATGCACTCACACAAATGCATGCAAGCACACAAACACAAACGTGCGCACACACACACACGCACGCACGCGCACGCACACACACACACACACACACACACACACACACACACACACACACACAGAAGTTTCAGAAACACTTCTTTTAGATATGTTAAAGCCTGAAACTCGCCGGGTTGCTAAACAGTTTCTAGGGGTCTGAAAACAACACAGATTCTTAATCATCGATCGTGGGTCGGTGACCTCGACGTTGTCGCTTTAGAAGATGCACCAGAAAACTGGTCAATTTAATTTTTTCAGTCAGAATAACGGAGGAGTTGTCGAGAGCATCGGTGTCTGTTTGGAGAGGTTCAACCAAACTGTGACTGAAAAATTAGTAGACCGTAAACTAACGGAAACATGACATTTTATGACAAAACTGCCATAAAAATGAGACCATCAATCTCATGGATGTTGCAAATTGTTTCCAGCCATGACCCCCCCCCCCCCCCCCCCCCCCCCCTCCGTGACTGCATGGATGGAACTTCCCACTGAAGTGTTTAATGAACCGTTTCAGTGTCATTAGGGCAGGACATTTGCATATTTTCTAGTAAATTTGTGTCTTCAGCTACGGTGGTCGCCGTCCGTTGCTGCCCTGTGAGACATCTACTCACCCGAATGCTTCAGCGGTATTTTCTAAATTGGAATGGATCAGAACAAATTACTTCTCACAAATTCAACAGCAGAACGTAAAAAAATCAGCAAACAGCAGCCGTTCTTTTCCTTTTGTGTGCTCTGCAGGCCGACAAGCTCAGAACAGGGATACATAAATGCATTTGCAGGTGAGCACTGCTGCCTCAGTTCACAATTAAAGATTTTACAAGTCAAAGTTTTCAGTCATCTGGTTTTGTAGCTCAGAACAAAGGGAAACAGGGCTCCTGAGACTTAGTTGTGTTTTCCTCTTTTGTCAAAATGTCTTTTATTCTCTCAAAACATCCACCAAAACATCCCTGTCCTCTAAAGACCGTCCCTTATTGTTGAGATGCACGTGAAAGCACCATCCTAACCTAAAGTGCTCTCAGGTCTGTAGTTGTTAGAAAACACGTGTACAGTATTTAGGTTTTTGCCCTAAATCCCTCTCACATCAGTTTTATTCATGACATTTTACTACCTTCCAGAATGAGCCACTTCAGGGGTCTGTCACTTTAAGAAAACAAGCTGGAGTTGGCCACTCCCATCCACCCCCTCTCAGGCTGCTATAGGCTGAGAAGCTCTGATATCCGGGAGGAACTCGTGGAGTTAAGAAAAAGCCTTGTTGTCCTTTCCAAACCTACTAGTATGAAAGATTGCGTCCATGTCAGCCAAAATCAGCACTGCTGAACCCAGATTAAAGGAGTGGGTTCGTGAAAGCACATTATGAAGCTAGATTAACATTTTTTACGGTACAGTAACACGCAAAAGCTGCAATATATTGTTTACATTTGTACAGTTACTTAAAACTGCTTCAGCACAACTATTTGACCCTCTTTTATGAGATAAAGTAGTTAAAGGGGACAAAGAATCTAAACCAACGTGCTCTTGTTGTTTGTGAATAAAGACAGCTTGGGTGGTCAAAAGTAGCACGCCAAAAAGTAAACGGTGTGTGACCAACTTTTTAAGTAAATCAGAAAGTTTATAAATGCAAGAGAAACACTTCTTCTCTGAGAAACCTCTCATAAAACGTCACAACGTGGAGCCCTTCCTCCTCCAAGCTAATGTCTCCAGTGGCTGAGGCCTTCTGGTTTCAACCAGCCAATCAGCAAGCAGCTCATTAGCATATTCATGTCCTGGCCAAGTGGGAGGAGTTAACAGCTCTTTTCACAGCAAGGCTGATTTAGGGTAGCCTGGCCTGCCAGACTCCAGAGAAAGGGTCTGGGAACTCTCCTGTTCAAATAACCCCACCCCCTGAGAATTCTAACTGAGCCAATCAGCGCTGAGCAGCGTACGTCACACACCGTAACGCCAAGTTTGTCATAAACATGGCGACTGAAGTGGTGTGCTGCAGCTCTTTCCTCTGCTCTAAATGGTAAATGGCCTGTATTTGATATAGCACCTTCTAGAGTCCTGGAACCCCCCAAGGCACTTTACAACACAATCAGTCATTCACCCATTCACACACACATTCACACACTGGTGGGGATGAGCTACGATGTAGCCACAGCTGCCCTGGGGCGCACTGACAGAGGCGAGGATGCCGAGCACTGGCGCCACCGGTCTCTCCGACCACCACCAGCAGGCAACGTGGGTTAAGTGTCTTGCCCAAGGACACAACGACAGCGACAGACTGAGCGGGGCTCGAACCTGCAACCTTCCGATTACGGGGAGAGCACTTAACTCCTGTGCCACTGTCGCCCACAATGTAAATGTAAGTAAATGACTTGGGACACGTCTTTAAAACAACAAGTAGAAGTGCTAAAAGCCAATTCTTCTAAAGAAAGATGTTTGTGCCATCGCCAGACGTCTTTTTTTTTTTTTTTACTATAGCTAAAAAACTACAGCGTCACGCGGTACGGTAGGCATTTCCGTCATTTTTCTGATTGGTTCTTTTTGAGCTGCCTATACCCACCCCTCATGTGCCTCTCTGCCGGTGAGCAACCTGACTCTTTCTCTGTGCAGAATTAAACAGAGGACGAGACTGGCAGGCCAGGCTGATTTAGGGGGTTTAGAATGGCCTGTATCAGGGCTCCTGGGACAGACGAAAGCCAAAAGAGAATTTCTTATGCTTCTTAAGCTTGGTTTATGCTTGACACATTCACTTTCCGCTTGGTGATGCGGCTCGCGGATGGAACGCGCTTCACAACTCGCAGCGTTTACGGTTCATGCGGCTTGTCTCTGTGGTGAGCCAATATTCTCCCAAACTGTAGGGGGCAGCATGGAGCTCTACAGCATGCATCCAACACTACACCATGGTAGAAGTAGAAATTACTGTTGTTTACAACATGGCATTCCAGCATTTTTTAACAGCGTCCTCGTCTTTTCCAACAGTGCGAGCTATTTCTCTCCAAGAATTATTAACAACATGTTGATCACGGTGATCTCTGAGAGCTGAATCATACAAATGTCTGTATTTACAAACCTCTGCCGTACTAGTTCTTGCCTCTCCGCCATGTTTTTCCGCTTCCGACCGTCCGCGTGGTTAGAAAATTTCCTAGGTGCGCGGTGCGGAAATTTTGGGCCGTGCGGAGGCGCGGTGGAGGGGCGTGGTTTTTAAAATGACACAATTTCGCCGCGGGAAGCCGTGCGAACCTCGCGGATGCGTCAAGCATAAACCAAGCTTAAGAGATTCAAAGCAGTTTTTTAGATTGCTGATAAACTGCACTCTTTGTCCCCTTTAATGTTACAAAATTTACATTTCCCCTAAGCCCCTCCCCTCTACAGCAAAGTGAATAATTACCGTGAGCCTAGCATTGAACAATAAAGTTGTGTGTCCACTAGAGGGAGCTGTCAATCAATGAGAATGTGCTCTAATACACAGCATGCACTACGGAGTGACACCGATGCCTTTGTTAGTTTAGCACACCATCCTAGCTTGAATGCTAACTGGACTTGCATTGAACTGACGTCGGCGTGTAAACTTCAAGCTAACTGTGGACAAGCTAACAACAACAAGCTAACATCAGACTATAGTTTTAGCTTGCTGAAGCATTTTCAGGGGTGGGCTAGCATTGTGAATGCAAATCCTTGCTGTTTATAGACGTTCTTGAACACTGCAAATTTGAAAAAAAGAAAAATAAACAGTGGTTAGCAGCTCCTGTAGAACCTGATGAAGCATGAGGAGACAAGTCAGCAGTTAGAATCATGTGTGTCTGAGCAGGAACGTACCCAAACATTAGTTGTCCGTTAGCGCTGCATGGCTACTTGTATGCACGTGGGCAGAACGAGGCGTGGCTTTCAAGAAGAGGAGGAGGAGCTATAGCCATTCAAATGTCTAAATCTCCTCCTCCTATCCTTGACGACGTCACTGTGCGGACCCCAGCTTGAAACATGAAGCGGTTTATTCTTCAAATCACAACATAATTCAACAAGAGAGAAATGGGTTTCCTTAACCACTAGAATCCTGATGATACAGCCGTTTTTCTCCCAAATGAGAATTCTGTCTCAGTACAGTGATTGCACGAACAAACGGTTGTCCCTTCACCGTCAGAAATACACACACACACACACAATTAATCACTGTAAATGTGTGCGAACGATGTCTTCGGGTGATCCTGCGAGACGTTGGCATCTGTCAGGAACAAGAAAGGCAGAGGTACGGGATGAGGGGCTGGATTGGTGTGGGACAGCGAGCCTGAGCGAGGGAGCGAAGGGTTGAAGGTCTAATTAATGGAAATGTAGGTTATTAGTCTCCTGATGAGGACACAGCAGAGAATTAATTAACAATTATAATTAGCAAGATTGTTAGAGAGCAAAATGGTGTCAGCAAGCAAGATAAGAGTGAGTTAGTGTGCAGAAACGAGTGTGTGTGAGTTGGGAGGGTCGTTGCAAGGAAACAAGACGAAGCAGCTGGGTGAACATGCCGTGTCTGACAACGATATGTTGTTTCAGCATTAGTCATGCAGAAGCAGCAGCTGATCGCATGTGATGGGGGGGCTTTTCCTGCACACAAACCACCCCCAGCAGACCTTCAGACTCACTCTCCATCCGCCTAACCTTGGGCCAGTCCTGTTTTTACGCCAATGTCACAAACAAAACAACAAACGCAGGAGCTCTAGATGACGTACGTAAAAAAAAAAAAATAGCATAAACGACTCAGGTTCTCGCCATGCCATGAGATGAGTAAGCACAGCAGATGTGAACTTTCCGTATTGGTGAATGGTTTTTGTTGGGGGGGGGGGGGGGGGGGGGGTACTACTTTCCAGTGTTTGATCATAAA